CACCGCCTAGTCTTCACCTCGTGAACGTTTAAGCGCTTAGGACGATCCCACCTCTCAATTCTGTACAGCATCCCAACTTTGAGATAATTTCGAGATGACATACTTACTTCCTTTTTTTTACTCATTTTTCTTCTCTTTCTCTGTCCCTAGGAGAAACCGTACGTTATGGTTAAGGAGGACAAGAATCTCACCGGAAATGCAAGATTCGAAGGTTTCTGTATCGACCTGCTAAAGTGGATCGCGGGTCAAGTCGGTTTCCAATACGCCATAAGGCTGGTACCTGATCACATGTACGGGGTCTACGACCCTGAAACCAAGGAATGGAATGGAATCGTGAGGGAACTCATGGAAAAGGTAATGAGCTATGGAATAAAAACTGAAGTCAAAGTGGCTGGTTACGAGAGACTTTTTCAAATTTACCGATTACCACGCAGAGCGTTACGTCGGTAAGGTAGAGAGAGGTAAAATTCACTGTGTAAAAATCCGAACGTTTGTTCCTGATGGACACATGAAGCAGATAGTGGATCCTTGTTCATTTTTTGTTTCTTCGCTACACGTGCGAATATGTGGGTCACGTTTTGCTTATAGAAACAGAGAGATATGATAGCGAATAAAAATATACTTTCACAATTTTTTTTTTTTCTATTTTCATTCCGTCAGTACGCTTTGGGACACTCGAGAAGGCAACATTCAAAAGCATCGAGCAAGCGTCCTCCTACGGCGATACTTTAACTCTCGATCGCGAATGACGGCTGCAATTAGTTGCCATGACGAAGCCTGATGAGATTTCCAATATAAGGGCAGACTGTTCAATTTTAGATGGAAGAAAAAAAAAAAGATACTGACGTCACTAACTTCGAGATAAATCCCTCTGTGGGAAAGAATTTAATTATGCATACCGCAGTGCAAATATGTGATGGTCTAATTTGATTTTTCTCTCTCTTTTCCTCTCGCTCACTCGCTCTTTGGGATATTATAGGAAAAAAAAAAAAAACCTCGGACACCCGTCAACCCGATTCATAGGCTGCCTGACAGATGTTACCGGATGTCATTTGCATTGTAAAGTTACTTTATTAAAAATCGTCCCGACAGCCGTTTCCAAAAAACGACGTATTTCCAAAAGTATTAAGGAAAAGGACAAAAGAGTATTTAAAATCTCATAGGCCAGAATCTCCCTGCGTCTCAAATCAAACTGGACCAATATTGCTCCTTCTCTCTGTTCGATACTCCTGTCACAGAATTTAGCGAATGGACCGTGTTAATTTATGAAAAATTAACATAGGCATCTCCCAAAACTCAATTTTGTAACGATAATTTACACGTAGAACGAATCTGGCTTGTTCGTATTCGAATTGCAGTCGCATGAAAATTCGCCTTTTAATGTGACGTAAAAAAACGTTTATGTTCCAGAGAGTATGCTGATCAAAGCAATTCCTTTGTAAAACAGCTTCCCTCGGTACGAGCAATTCCTTTTATGCAGAGCCTATCAAAGAGTCATATACATATTTGAAAAAGAAAAAAAAAAAAGGAAGAACCACAAAAAAGAAGTCACTACCGTACAGCCGTTATAGCTGCTGCCGTGGTTTTTATTTTCGAAAAATTCATCTTTATATTTCTTTTTTTTTTCAAAATGTTAAAAACTGACCAATGGATATTTCGTATACCTACGGCCGTAGAGGAATCGACGAATTTCCATACCTTCACATTCAATATCTTCGTTCTCATTGATGCCTCGTGCACTTTTGAACTTTCACCCTTATATCAGACGGTTCTTGCACTCGTTTTCTCTCTCCCTCTTCCACCCCTCTCTCTATATGTATCTCGCTTGCACTGTCCTTTCACGTTTAGACAAATATTATTTTCACATTATCCTGTATAATTCTAACGGCATCTCCTATCTGTTACCAGACTCTGGCAAAGACCAATGAGATAACGTCGCGTCGAACGCTGACAAGAAGTTCGGCACTTCGATGACTTCCGGCCTAGTTTTGGCCTACAGTCAGTTTCATTTGACGAAGCCAGTCACGTTTCGGTCTTGGACGGTACGGGAGCGTCTGGCAAAGTTTACCTGTCAAAAATATAAACGGAAGCACAGAAAGCAGCGTGGCAGCCGGGGAGGATTCTTGCGAAGTTAATTTTGGCCTTTTTCGTCTACCTCAGATCCAGTTAAAATAAAAACATAAAAGCGTCTGCGACCCTTCTCAGTGTTGAAATTAAATGTGTCCTATACACCCTTATATCAGTCGTTTCCACCGAAATAGTATATCCCATCGCTATTTCTCTGGAGAGGGAAAAAGATAAATATTACTTCACTTTTGAATCTTTTGGACGACATTGCCAAAGGCTCTTTTTCTTTCTCTGTCAGATTTTGTTTTCATAAGATTTTCCTCGTCCTCTCTATCTTTTATCTCTTTTCGCCGAGTTTTCATTTCCATACGGAATACACTTCGATCTAGTCTTGAAAACTGTCAGCTGGCAAAAGAAAACGTAGATGAGACGCCTGCAGTTCTCGGCAAATGTTTACCTTGCAAAATAGTGTATTCATTTTTTAACTCCCGATGAGAAAGAGAACGGCCGAGACTCGTACTGCGTTATCCGGAAGCTTCTGGGTTAAGGCGCCAGGTGGCGGGTCTTCGCGTAGGAACAGATTGCTTTGCATCTTTTAGCTGAAGCGCTGATCTCGGGATATAATATAGTGAAATGAAAAGTATCTTGACTTGCTCGAACGATTGCTGTCTTTAAATTATTGAATTAAGTTCCTAGATCTTTGGATTACTCACTCTCGCTGTCTCTCTCTTCTTTGTTCTTTCAGAGAGCCGATCTGGCCGTGGCCTCTATGACGATCAACTACGCCAGGGAGAGCGTGATAGACTTCACGAAACCCTTCATGAATCTTGGAATTGGAATTTTGTTTAAGGTGAGTCGCGTGACGACAATTTAATACAAAATTGATAATAGATAATCCAAAAAAAGAAACGTGACAAAAAATCATAAGGCAATTCAATAGCAACGTTATCGGTTACGGAGTACAGTTACGCAGCTACAGAAGGAGAAAAAATTGGTAAAAAAAAAGGATATACATTAAGTTCAAGTAGTAGAAAAAGTGAAAGAAAAGAAAAAATATAGAAATTCAGAAAAGAACATTTTTAACAGATTCATAGGGGCGCACCTCATTCCGGCTTGATCGGAAGTCGCGGAAGCTTTATATAAAACGCGTCTACGGGTTGTTTTAATTAAAATTGTAGCATAACGTAATTTAGGTACCCACCAGCCAACCGACGAGACTCTTCTCCTTCATGAACCCCCTCGCCGTCGAGATATGGCTCTACGTACTAGCCGCTTACATGCTCGTCAGCTTCACCCTCTTCGTGATGGCCCGATTCAGCCCTTACGAGTGGAACAATCCGCACCCCTGTCTGGCCGAGAGCGACGTCGTGGAAAACCAATTCAGTGTCAGCAACAGTTTCTGGTTCATTACCGGAACTTTCCTGAGACAGGGCAGCGGACTCAACCCCAAGGTACAAGCAACGAAGGTGCAAGATCATGCCTGGGTATCGTAAGAGCATCTTCAGTAGGGCAGTGCAACGCGATACACGTCGTGTATCAAAATGTAAATGTCAGCTGCGCTAAACAAGCCACGCCGAATCAGGCGCTGTTGAAGTTCGTCGGTGTCTCCGTCTGACGGACGTCGCTTGAACTATTTCCTTTTTCCTCTTTTCAAACGATCTTCACACCTACTGCGAGTCCCTTCTTAAAGCACTGGCTCTTGAAAATGCTACAGGTTTCCGGACGCATGCCCTCGCGACTCTTCTCCTTCATGAATCCACTTGCTGTCGAGATTTGGCTCTCCATGCTGGGCGCTTACGTAATGGTTTCGTTAACCATATGGATCGTGGCGAGATTTTCACCTTACGAATGGGTCGAGCCCGCGCCATGTCCGAGCTGCAAATGTCCTCTACAGGTAGGCTCCCGTCGAGTGGTGCCATTAAACTATTTTTGATCGACGGCCTTATTTTTCAATTGTTTATTCAAAGAAAAAGAAAACAAATTTTATTCCTCAAAGACTAATATTTAATCTGCAAGAAAATTAAAAATAAGAAATTGAAGTTTTCATGGCTCTGTGGATTATAAAAATGGCTTCTCGTCACTGTCGTATCGTTATCGTGTCGTGCCGTGTAATTGCCCTTGTGATTTTGCACCACTTGGCGGGGGTCTACGCCACCAGGGTGGTCACGTCAGTGCCTTGGAACCCGAGAGCGAGGACATCCCCCTCCCGAGAACTGTCAACGATTTCACCCTGGCTAACAGTTTCTGGTTCACGGTCGGCACCCTCATGCAACAGGGGAGCGACCTCAACCCTAAGGTAATAAAGCCACAGAGTCGGTCGGTAATGAGAGCCTTAAAGAAGAGCGGGATCAGTAAAAAGTAAATGCGAAAACAAAATTTGGAATTTAACAGAGAAAAAGATATACAGACTCGTTTTTATTATTCAAAGATCGAGCAGTTCAATTTAAGCTCCGTCAAAGTTACCATAAGAGTTACGTTAACACTACTCACCTGGAAAGGGACGATCGTACGAACGCATGACGTTACATTAAGAATGGTCGTAAATAACCGAAAGTCGTTAGCTCAACACCGCTTATACTTCTTTTTTTTTTATTTTGTTCTCTGCGCTTCTCACAGACTCGTTATACTCGACCCTAAACCCCCGAGCCAACACTCATCAATCCCATCATCCGGAGGGAATTGTTTAGCCGCAGAATCGCGTCGCGACGCCCGCACTTCTCTATCCGCAAAGTATTGTACGCCCAAAGCGACGCTTAAACGCGGGTTGCGCGATGCCAAAAAACGCCGACCTATTCGCCGCTTAGTGCTTGAAGCTTGGATTTCTTTTTTTTTTTAACGGTTACTGGCACGTTCATGCTTTCTTGGGCCAAAGAGAACCGGTTTAGTGCATACTTGTCATTTGCAGCAGCTCCCTACGTCGTCGTGCGTATCCACTCGGCATGCGTTATAATGTTCCTTCTGTATTTTGCTTGAGTGCATAATAATGTAAGAAATTTTTGTATCTGCCATTTTCATTCTGACGATTATATTTTTGTACTTCAGTGTTTCTGACAATATTATTTTTAGGGTTACGCTTGGTCTTAATGATCCCTGCTTGTTTCACTTGTCTTATGCGGCGCGAATGTTGGTTGAAACGTGTAGCGTCGTTGCTGGGCTTTATGTAAATAATATCACGAGTCTATGGAAAAATACAGTGCACGCTTGAAGCTCTCTTTGCGACTTCCTAGTCACTTTTTCTCAGCGGTACTTTTTACTTTGTCCTCCAGGCTCTCCAACTTTTTTTAATTATTATTTCACCTCCGCGTGATAATTTATCGTCCGTAAAGAATGAAATTCCCGTAACTCTCCGATTGCGAGTGTCTGCTGTATGCAAATATTTCGGACGCTGTGCCCGTGCAGCGGCAGCCATTAGTTTCGCAGAACTCCGCGTGGCCCCCCCTAGTGTCCGGCAGATTGTGAAAATAAAAAGATGTGAAGAAGGAAAAAGAAACAAAAATCAAAATTCAGTCGCCACGCACTAGGAGGTAACTCGACGTAAATAAAGAGACTTTTAAATCCAGTCGTTCAATTCTAACGATTTGTAACTTCGTATACCCGTAGTACCAGAAACTTCCGCCAGAGTCTCACCTAGATATTTCACGGAGTTAGAATAAGTCGTGCGAGTAACACAATCCCTTAAACAGAATCTCACGAACTACGTGACGTATGAAAGTAATGAAATAAACAAAGAGAGGCAAAGAAAGTACGTTTAAAGAAAAGAGAAGCACGTAAGAATAAACCGAGAAGGGCGCTGCAGTCGCCCGTCCCGGGCGGGAAGGAGCGACTAAACTCAGGCATGCCAACCCCTTGCATGCAACATAGCAGCCAAGCACCTTACGTTTTGTACTCTCATGCATTCGTAGTAACCTTTTCTAACTAGCGAACGAGTCGTCGGATTTTCATAGTCGCGAAATCGTGGCTAGCACGCGAATTTCACACAAGACTCGAGTCTCGGTATTGTCGGCTGTGTCGCATTAGCAGAATACGTGTAATGCACAAAATACTCCAACTTTACCTAACTGCAAGATTATAAAAGATTTCCAAGTGCATTTACAGACCGTGCAGACGTTTCTTTAGCCATTCGTGTTAATTTAACGTCAACCCGATGCTCACCAATATTTTTTTTTTATTTTTATTTAACGCACAATCTCATCGACCTGTTTTCAAACAAATACACGAGTGCCGTCTAGTCCTTTTATTATGACATCCTGCGAATTTTCAAAACCAGTAATTGCAACGGGCTCGGGTGAATCTCCAACGCATTTACAGTACTTCTATTAAACTTGGAAATACATGGGTGCCATTTTTCGTAAAAAAAATATTCACAATGACAAAAAAAGAGCATCCGACCTAACATTTCAGGCTGAATAGACTCTGGATAATCGAGTGACGAGGACGTCTCGTACGTGTCCTTTTGCGATAAACATAATGTTCAGGTAGAAATAAAATTCCCTCGAAATGAAATGACACGAAAATGTAGCGAGCTTCCAAAAAGAAAAAAAAGGATGAGAAACGGTAAAAAAAATTAAATAAAAATGGCGGAAAGGGACGCGTACCGGGACGGGCACATCGCAGGAGTCAGCTGCTATACGTAACGGAATATCTTTATGAAGTAAAAGCTCGTCTCTCGCACGTCGCATTTTACTTCGCGTCGACGAGTTCGCCTTAAGCTTTCACGATTACGTCTCTTATTCTACTTTCGAAGGTGAAAACTGTTTCTGGGGTCTTTACTTATGAGAGAAAGAACTTTTTTATGAAAAAAAAAAAAAAAAAAGAAATTCACGGAACACTTGTATTCCAGGAACTTCCTCATACACCTCGTGGACGTTATCATATTTATCATCAGCTGATTAACATTCCACACGAAGACTCCGAGTCATCGTTTGAAAATACGGCCACGACGAACGTGGAATAAATATATTGCAATATTAATTTATTATATATGATAATTTGAAATAAATGATAATTATTATTATAATGAGCTCCTTAAAAAATCGTCCTTCAGGACATTTTAACGTCGCAAGACAAGTGGTGCTCGCCGGCTCTGTGGCATGTTCCTGGGGTTAGGGATCACAATGATGACGCTAACGATGACGACATTATTGCTGATTTTAATCGCTACTCCTCTCCCATCGAAATCGTTTCGTAACTTGCCTATTGCTCAGCATATACATTCTTTGCATGCAAAATATACATATATCTATACTATATGCACAGGTATATATAACGTCTACGTACCTAGTCATTGGCTCGCGTAATTGACAAAAAGAAAAATTCGAAAAATAATAAAAGATTGACATATTTTTAATTACTCATCACAACTTTGATCGCTAAGAACGAACATTGAATCGAACAGATCTATATATGAATCCTTATGGAAAAGTTAATTCGGACGTCACTGACGTCACAATTGAAACTCGGTATAAGAGTAAAATATTTTTTCCCATCACCCCGACCTCCCACCCTAAATCCCGTGATTCGATTGGTCCATTGCTTTCAATCAATCTTTACACAAGCATTGTATATCTATATATATTTTCGAATATTTACTCTTCATCCCCAACTGGCAACAGCCCCATGTATAGATATGCAATGCCAGTGTCCCTTGCACCCCTCAGGGTCAAAGGTTGATGCGTTTCCGATCGAAATGGTGGAAGTCGTTAGGAGGGGAGTGGAGGGGGAGGGGGGAGGCCTGAAGGAGCTGAGAAAAAGGTCCTCGGCTATCCAGTGGGAATTTAAAATCATTTAGAGGATAAGACGATTTCGATTTTCGAAATCCCAAAGGAGCTTCCAATTTGATTTCGAAACAAAGCACTCGACTCGACCAAAGTTCTCGGGCGGGATATGTGTGAGAGGAAGAAAGTTTTTCGTGAAGAATTTTCAAGCCGGATGAACCCACTCTGGAAGAACGGAGAGTCGACTTCCGTCCTTTCTTCGGCTCCCCCCCCCCCT